TGTGGCTCCTGGGGGCTTCAGCCGTTACGGCGTTCTGTAACGGCGTTAAGGGGTTAATACTGTATATTGACCCCTTTAGCATCAATGACAGCGTGCCGTCTTTTGAAATAGTTGTGTATAAAGGCCCCTAATTCTTGGTGGTATAGCTGCCTATTTGTCTTGGCAAAATGCCTCCAGGTCATGCAACGTTTTTAGTCGTCTTGCATGTACCGCACATTTGAGATCTCCCCAGCAATATGATATTAAGGTCAGGAGACTGTGATGGCCATTCCAGAACCTTTGCCTTTTTCTGCTGTAACCACTGGAGTGTCAACTTGGCCTTGTGCTTAGTGGAAAGGCCTTCACTATAGTGGAAAGGCCTTCACTATAGGCCTTGTTGACCCGTTTTCAAACATAACGCTTATGGTTGTGACCTTAAAGCTCTATTTATGTCTTGTCACTCCAAATTACAGTGTGCCAAAAGCTGTGAGGCATGTCAAGGTGTTGTCGGGCATATTGTAACTGGGCTTTTTTGTGACATTGACACAGTAAAGGCTTTTTTCTGACAACTCGACCAACTTAGTTCAAGTATCATCGTATTGTGCTCCTTGAAACAACTACACTGTCTTTTTCCAGAGCAGCTTGTATTTCTCCTGGGTTTTTCTTTTTATCCCGAACAATTCTTCTGGCAGTTGTGGCTGAAATCTTTCTTGGTCTCTCTGATCTTGGCTTGGTATCAAGAGATCCCAGAATTGTCCACTTCTTAATAAGTGATTGAACAGTACTATCTGACATTTTCAAGGCTTTGGATATCATTTTATATCCTTTTCCATCTTTACAAGGTTACTGTACCTTGTTACACAGGTCTTTTGACAGTTCTTTTCTGCACCCCATCGCTCAGTATCTAGCCTGCTCAGTGCATCCACATAAGAGCTAAAAAACTCATTGACTATTTATATACAGAAACTAATTGTAATTTAAAAAGCCACAGGTTTGGTAAATTAACCTATAATTGCCATTTTAACCTGTATATTACTAAATATAAGATGAATGCAATCATCTCATGGAATACAATGCATTTTTGTATTCTTGTATTAATCTGATTAATCTCTACTGTTTGTAATACAGAATAAAATCAATGTCTAGAAAATGAAGGGTAATAGCTATATAGTGGAAACAAGACTGATGGGGCAGGTAGCCTATTTGAATGGGGGGAGGGGGGAAGCGGGTTCATCTGTAAATGCTCTATTGGGCACTATGGAGAAGGTTCCCCCCACCCCCCATTTGCAGTAAACCTGCAAAAAAAAAAAAAACACTTCTTTTTTTAACCTTGAATCAAGCGCCGGGCAAAGCTCCCAGTGCTGAGTTCCGCGCTCCCCTCCCGACATCACAAGGGCCTAACACAATCCAATCACAGGCTTCTTATAAAGAAGCATTCGATTGAACTATTTCACTGGCTCAGTGCTCATGATCTAGGGGGAGAGTGCGTTAAAAAAAATACAAATAAAAAAATATCTCTCCAATGGAGGGAGGCTGCTGGGACCACATAGTGAGTGGAAGGGAGTGGGAAGCAATATTCACCTTGCAGGAGCTTTGCCATCAAAGGAGAGGATGATCACGTCTGTCATTAAATATGCACAGAATTGACAATGGCAGTCCTGAACAGAGCTCTGGACTGGAAACCTCATGTGTGCTGGGCATTCAACTAGCCTCCAGCACACAATTAAATCTATCTCTGTATGTGCAGTGTTTCAAGGAGAAACACTATACATCCAGGTATATTCCACCATCACCACTTCAAATCACTGAAGTAGTCATGGTGGTCGGAGTGACCCTTTAAGGATCAGACTTAACATGCTTTGTTAAGCATGCATATCCTACTAATGTGACATTGGCAGCTCCATACAATCCTATTCTTTCCCTAAATCAGAGGTGCATGCCCTCCTGGATTTGAATGTTTAAAGACCAGATTGTTTTAAAAGTTTTGAACCATCATTGGTCATGAATGTGTCAAACCATTTATGTTCAAGTTGGAGTCTAATGCGGTTAAAACACTTGATTATTTAGTAAAATTCAAAGAAAACTTAACATCAACTTTTACAGCATATTGTCGTGATAAATCAAATTTTGTCAAGCATATTTCCATTAAAATGTCATTATTTTTAAGCTTTAGAGAAACCAATGATCTGTTTAATCTGCTTGGTACACAGTGCTATTGCTGTATTTTCATTTTCTTTTTTTCTAAAACTCTGCAGGGAACTTCAGAAAAACTTTATATACTCTCTATATGTCATTAAAACAGTGCAATGTAGCAAAAAAATAGACTGCCATCTATTAAAACCCCTTTGTGTCAAAGGCCTTTCAATGATGTACCAGCTGTTTAGTAAATTGTCAGACCAGCCTTTTGCAAAGGCTTTGAAAACCACAGATCTCATCACATTATAAGGTAAACTAATGATCAAAGCACAAGTTGATTTTAAATGAAGAATTATTTATTAAAAGTGAAGTGCCATTACCACATTTTGCACGTAAAGAGCAGCTATCGGCTTTCTTTTTATACAGTTTAATAATATATTCATCAGAATCAACATAATTAATTAATACAGCTTTATCAAACAGAAGGCATGAATTGAAATATTCTCAACTTAACCCAAATGAACCAGATACAATGAATAATTATTTGTAATTAGATAAGAATAATGTATGTTCAATTGTTCCTCTAAATATATTCGTTAGTATTTTCTGAAATTCTTGTCCTTCAGGTAGGGTATTATTTTTATTATAATTTATAAAGTGATAACATTTTCTGTAATGTTATCCAAACTTACAGAAAAGTGAAAGGTAGAGTGTATTTTGTTTAAAGTAAAAAATTAACTAGATGCACATAGTAAACTTGTGCACAGAGAGAAAGTTAGTTTTTTTTTTTGGAAACCATGAAAGAGCAGAATCATGTAGACCCAGGTTGCAGAGGATGGGAAGGAAAACCTAGTGATCAACAGTGTCAGAAGCAGAAGAAAGATCGAGAAAGAGGTTCCTTTCTTCTAGAGATCAGTGACTTTATATGTTTGGCAGCCATCAAATCACTGGTCAGTTAGTTGTTAAGGGCAGTTTAACAGGACTGTTGAGGCTGGAAATAATATTGGAGAGAGTCAAGTAAGGAGTTGGTTTCATGGAAATTGTTCACTGGTATGTATGAGTTTTGGAGTCATGTGGCCGAACGCCATGTGACATGTGGGTCTGCGCATTTATAAGGACTTATAGACAGAGCCTCAATTTGTACTCCTGCAATACGCCGCCGGTCGCGGAGCTACACAAAGGATCACAGTGATGCCACGTTCCAGACAATAGAATGACAGAAATGGGAGACATGTTATCTATAGCATAAAATTATATATAAGCTATACACCAGGAAGAAGCTCATAAGCACTGGAAGAAGGTTTCATAGCCAAAACGCGTCTCCTGCTTCATATATATACTGCTGTATATCTCTGTCCTGGGTTACTTATTGGTGGTAAGTTGTACCTCTTTTGGACTTTTATACAATGTTATTTCCACCACCATCCTATCTAGTGCCCAGAGTTGTTATCACTTTTCAACTGTTCTTAATTATTTGTGTCAATAAATATTTTTTGTGGAACCATTTGGAGTCCTACATCCTGTCATTTGGAGGTGGATCCTGAAGCCAAAAGTGGCACAGTGAGCCTTTCCTACAGAGCCTGGTTCGGCTCTGGGTCATGTGAGTTGCATTCTAACCCCATCTCCCTGCTACATATATTTTACAGTTCACACTATGTTGTTGCTTTTTGTTTTATTTTAGGTATCTAACATTGTACAATTGAACCAGTATACACTTGACTAATTATATGCTTGCATTTTCTTTTTAATTTGTCACTTATACATTAGGGTATATACATTGTTTTATGTATTATCTCAAGGAGTGTTTTGATGTCCTTTTTCTGCAATGAATCTCGGAAGTATACACTGATCTATTGTGTACCCATCTTTTCATATTTAAGCTGTTATGACAGAGAAAACTAACTGCTATTATCATTTGCCTATAAAATACTCTTATCTTCAGTGTGATAGCTTTACTTTAAGCAGAATTTAGCATCTGTAATTAGGGACATATGCAGTTGTATTAGATTTTGAAACAACTCCCTATGCTGTCCCTTTAATTAGACCATAAAAAAAAAAAATGTATAGAAACAGTAGAATGGCATTAAAAAAAAAGCTCAGGAAAAGGAATATTTTAGTTTGCTTATTCTTTCAATGCTTTCAGTATATAGCACAAAAGGAGTTGCACAAAGTAGATTATAGTGAAAGGAGAATGCATTTTTTTTCTCTTACAGTACAGTGAGACATACAAAGAATTAAAAAAACCTAAATATCCAGTATGCGATTTGTTGCCATACAATAGTAAGTATTGCATAACCAGGGAGACAATATGAATACTTAGCACAATCTTTCAGCATAACTACAGAACTTTCACAACAAAAAGGAAAAACAGCAACATAAGAAAATGTTTCTGAAGAAAAAAAATGCAAAAATGGATATGATTTTCTCCGAGATCAGTGCCTTAGAAATAATCTGGTTGTGTCTATGCAAAATATAGACCAAACTGATTGCAAGGTGGGTAAGTTCTGCAAACACTGTATGTTGGCTTTAACATTTTTCTCAAAGTGAGAGAACTCGGAAGCTCTCTAGATATGATGAAGACCATAGCTGCATGGTTGGTCTGTCATAAGAAACCAATTCCTCTTGTTAGTAAAACCAGATTCTGTCGATTTAGGGTAGAATCCTCCTGTTATGAATATGAAACATGTTGCACACAAAATCTGTTTCCCAGGCCTGTAAGCATGTTGGATTCCTGCAATTATCAAATGATGTTACCTGCCCCAGACAGTGATGTTACCACGTTCTCCACCGCATATACGGAGAGCCCAGAGGGTCAATATGGATTAAACTGCTTGAGTCCAAATCTTTGTGAAAGGGGAGCTAGTGATAGGCTGAGACCAATATGAGGAATCTAATACAAAGATCCCTTACAGCCGATAGGACTGGAAAAACACTCAAACCTTAAAAGAGAACCCATTCCTAAGGTCCTCAGTCTTTTTCCTGTCCTGCAGCCCTTAAGAAGGAAGTGCCTACCTCCCTACAAGCTAAGTTGCTTCTATTTTAAATTTACATTTGGGATTTTGTCTTATTTTATGTTGCTGAATTTCTGGTTGTTGGGTCCTTACCTGTCCCCTCTTAGGACTTTAACATGGTCCGTTAGTTACCCGTGTACTTACCTGCCTTTTTCCTCAGTCCCCGTGTGTATTCCTGGGTCCCTGGTAAGTGCCCCATGCCTCCTGGACTAAAACAGAGTGTTTCTACCCAGTCTCTAGGCTGGAAAAATTCATGGCAATCGGCAAACGCTCGCACAATAGTGCACTCTTGTGGCCGAATCCTATGATGCGAACTATGGGCATTTCGCATCAAGGCGGACATCTTAAGTATAAGCAAAACCAGGAAATGGACCCAAATCATTCCCAACACCTGAAACAAAGTAATTTAAGGATCCAGAACGCACTAGGTAAGTGCCTTGGCGCCTAATTTTCCCTAAGTGTATACTTAAGAGTTGCTTATTGTATTTTAGGAGTTTCTGAAAGTGCCATTACTCCAATATTCTTTTGCCGCAGTTAAGTGCAAGTTTATATATACCCAATGTGGTATCCAAATACTCCGCAGAAAACCACGATAGATAAAAAATGAAGAACAATATAGAAAATGGGAAACAAATTGAAAATAGAAACATAGACTAAATGCAAAAAAAAACAACAACAGGACCAAAAAGGCTATTTAGCAGCTAATTGGGGCTAGAGTGGTTAAGTGGTTATGTTGCTTGGAATATTTTTTTTAATGCCATTATGGTGTAATTAAGGATTGTATTTTATATATATATTAAAATGGAGGAGAGAAATCGATTTTTACAACTAGATGTATAAAAATGATACAATTCAACATTGGATTGCACATAGCACCATGACCACTTTAGTGTTTTTAGTCTTGTTACCTGGGATCTGTATGTACAGCATTTCACTATGAAACGCTGCACATATAGAGTTTAACCCCGCTGCTCTGTAATTCCACCTCCAGCATTGTCATTAGCCAGCCTGGAACACGAGTTTTGGGCTCGCTAATGTGAAATCTTTGCAAATTTGGTGTCTGTCATCAGCACATAAGGCATGCTGGCAACAGACAAACAGCAACACTACAGACATACAGACAAACACTCCCCTACGTTCAAATGGCAAAGCAGCATACAAACTGCATTCAAGCCTCAACACTACACACAAATACACTCCTATGTTCACACATACTGCACACAAAAACATGCTTACGTTCAAAAACACAGACACTGTGCACCCACCCAGCATGAGTTTATGAGGTGTGTCCCTGTGCGATCTGTATACTTATCACAAGTGCCACTCATGTCCCTCTCCAATTGTCCATTTCTCCTTCTGACGTCCTTCCACAGCCGGCTGTTGCACGCCAGAGCCCTTTAAAGGCTCTGTCTCCTCAGACGTCGTTGATGATGTCAACTTGCGCGCATCATCACTCTGGCAGCTGTCAGGTTTCAAAACTGACATGTAAGACTTTTTTGTTTATTACTGGCCCTTTAAGTGAACTTCATGATTTTCTCCTTTAGTGGCCTCCCTAGCCACTAATCTATTCACTCACCTTAATAACCTCACCTGGCTTAACTAATTAGGAGGCTTGATAAGTCTACTCTCGGGCACACAACAGGGCCTTGACATTGAAGTCTATGCTCTGATAAAGAATCTCTGTTCCTGGTAATATCCTGTATTTTATCTACATGATTTCATTCTGTAAAGAACTTACCTGCAATGCCTCATCCTGTACTCATCTGCATTTCCTCTTACTGAAAGGCACTAACCTGCATTACTTCATCCTGAACTTGCCTGAAAGACTTTCCTTATCAGCTTCCAAGAATCCTGATTTGTGGCGTATTGCCTTCAGTGAAGAATCTTAACTGCTTCAATTGCTGCATCACTGCATGATCTCGTAAGCAACCTGCATTAAATTATTTTGGAATATACCTACCTGTTTCAAACTCTGCATGATCCTGTATTGCCTTATCCTAAAAGGTATTTACCTATAACTAGCTGCGTTGCAAAGTATCCTGGAAATCCTTAACTACTTGGTATAACTTCAAGCCTGCTTGTAAACAAAGGACTTTATTCAGTTACTTTCTAAAGATCTTGTTTGTGGCATATCGCTAAACCCTGTTTTCTCTCACAAAGTATCCTGTTTGTGGCAGACTGCCCTTTTATTCTGTATTTTCAGTAAATGTGTTATGTCTAATACGACAAAGTTTTAACCAATAACCCTTGCAATCGTCTCCTCTCTGACCTGCTCAGGAGCATGACACGCGCATGTTTTGGCATCACATGGATCAGTGACCAATGAAAGCCCTCTTAAAACTACATCATCCTTTTTTGGGTTTTGTACTGTACCCTGTTATTTAAATGTTATGGTTTTTCCAGGAACTTGTTTTTCTTGCATTATCTTTGGCTTTTCTGACCTGGACTTGTTTTTGACCATTCTCCTATCGATTTTTACCTGACCTTGCATGTTCTCTCCTTTACGCTATTCTCTGTCTACCTGACCTCGTCCTGTCTTGTCTTATATACCACTGTATATTTAATATGGTTTGCTTAAGTTCTGCATGTCAAGTTATAGTGAACTGTGACACACTGCTCACAAATACAGCCCTGCAAGGATAGACAAATAGTAAATACCCAGACGGCAAAGCTTTGTGGGAGTTGTAGGCAGTAGTGCTACAAGGGCCATAACAATTCCTTGCATCATGGCCCCCTCTGTATTAGTACCGCCACCATGAGTAACCCTTTAAATATGCTCTTAAAATATGCTAGGTAAGAAAATATGCAAGCAATTAGACATATGTACAATGCTTAACATAAAATAATTAAAATACATTTATTTTAGAAAGTATTTGAAAAAATAAATGTACTCACAGTCAATGTGATGTCTATGATTCCACAACTCTCTGCTTGATTCACTATGTCCTGATCTTCCAGGCAGCTCCAGACAGTTCCCAGACAGTTCTTGTGCGAGCAAGATCGTTATCTCTCATACTGTCGGCTCCTGACAGGGGGAGATATGTAATTGGCGACATTTAAAACAGAGCGGTAGATGCAATCCAGTGTGCATACAACTCAAATGACAGGTTACTAAAGGCCATGCAAGCATGCTCATAGTTAGCTGTTTGCAAGTTCTAAAACCAGAGCTTGGTGTCATCAGGCTGTATGTGCTTACTCGGAATGTGAAAAGGTGTCAAAGTTTAAATGACACCATGACATGCCCAAAACTACTTTCTTTCTTTTTAAAGAGCATCAAATTTAATCTATACATTGTTTTAGCAGTTTTGCTAGCAAAAGTATAGGTTGGGAGGAAAACCTGTTTAGAATAGATTTTTCTCCCACTTGTAAATCAATTGTTTGGCATACACACTATGCTAATTATTTAATTGATAAAGAAGAGCAGACGTGACTTCCCGCAGGTGGTCCGTCTGCTTTCCACCCATAAGAACCACATCATATGCTAGTGCTGGCTAGGGAGTATATGCCCAGAGTAGTTAATGTCACTCTGTTCAGAGGCCGGAATGCTGGCAAAAAAGCCAGTGTCAACATTATGTGGAAGTATCCTCAAGCAGGACAAATCAGTGAAGACACTGGGCAGAGCATGCACGGACTGGAGGTGGGTGTTAAAGAAGTGCAATACCCACCTCTGTAATAAGATCACAGCAGGGGAGTGGAAGGTCTGGTAAGTGGCCACAGGATCCATTTAAGTAAACAAAGACACAAGCTGGTGGTATGGCTGCACACTTGACAGCTCCTGGAGGAGTGGTAAGGCAAAAAATATGAACATGGCTGTATCACTGCTTTATATAGTGTGGATGTAGGGGATGGATATATGCCCAAAATACACTTCATTAAGATGATGTGCTTTTGGAGCATAGACTGTCCCTTTTACATCTCACTGTCCAGATTAGCATATAATTCACCTGAGTGATTAACGTTTAACTTTGGATTCTTGCTGTAGACCATAAAGAATTTTAGAAGAAAGAAAATAATTTCCTTAAAAAAAAATATTCTTATCAGATCTTTCAGAGCAAATTATGATTGATAAAAATGGACTCTCTTTATCAAGCATAGAAATTGTCTATAAAACACTATCCAGCTTTTCTCCGTGTATGCAAAGGTTCATAAAATTCTGACAGGGCCAGAGCTGCTGGGTATGCAGTCAGTGCAGATACACTGCAGTCCTTAGGGTTGGGGTGGGAGGCATCTAGGCCTAGGGGCCCAAATAATCAAGGCTTCTGCTGTTTAATGTGGGCTCCTGGCACATCAAAAATGGGTCTTAATTAAAAAAAAATAAAAAAAATAGACATTTTGCAACCTGTAACTAAAGTGGCTGCAATGTTGTAACTGTTTACTTACTGAAGTGTTTTGGTTCATAGACCCTGCCTCACCAAACTTTCTGCTCAATTCTATGTTGATTAAGAGGTAAATGACATTATTTGTACAGCCCTAGTCACATCTTCTCTGGTTGTGTCCTTTTGCCACTTATCATGATTTAATGCAAAAGCCAGCAGCCTCTTGTGTGAGATAAATAGCTCACATGTACACTGAAGTTTTGTTTTGTTTTTCATAGAATTTGTAAAAGCCAGTATTCCATTATTTAATATTATTGTACAATATTATAATGTATTATTTGCCAATATCTATGTTCATGTATGTTTTTATAGCTTCCAAATATGTTTAGGGGACATTCACTAAATTGTTATTTGAGTGAATGTTCATACATTTTATATCATACTTCCTGGATGATAATGCTTTTCTATGAGATGCATTTGATTGGTCACTGACTGCACAAAGAAAGAAATTTGTACTGTGCAAAAATGGAGGGAGTCAACTCAACTGCCGATATCAAGATAGGCAGTAAAGAAAATGTTTAATTATAGGCATCTGGAACAATTTTAAAAATAAAAGTGAGGTGAATTAATTTTTTTTGTCAATTATGCTGTTTAAATTCATTAAAAAAATATGCATTTTGAAGCCTAGACCTTTAAACTTTTTCTGTCTGGTTGATGTGATTATTACTTGATTTTACATATTTTGTTACAATATTCTTTGTAAAGTCACAAACATGTATTTTTATTTATACATTATAAAGCACTCTTTATTAGGGGAACCATTTAACCGTTCCCTTTAGATTGTACCCATCAGCAAATCATTAAAATATTATATAAATTCAGATTAATCTATGCTATGGGATTTGATTAACACAATATATCCAAAATGTAAGGATTCCTGTAATTAACAAAGAATGTAAGAGTCAGTTATTTATATCCTTAAGTGATACACTAAGTATTATTATAAGTATAACATTGTTTATTTAAGGCATTAAGGTTCTGGACTTTGGCGACTCTGGCTTAATCACCTCTCTCTATCTTAATGCAGGTTCTGCAGATCCTAAACAATTAAATATGATCTACAGGGTCAAGGACTTTCAGACAGACACCCATAAAATAACCATGGCATATAACTGTCATTTGAATAGTGTCTTGGTTTATAAATATCTAGAGCTAGTGAATACATTTATTGAAATTTTCAACCTGTCTATATGATGAGATAATGAAGGCTTAACATTTTATTAGAAATGTACAGCCCTGTAACAATCTTACAGGATTAAAGGTCACGTCTCTTTTGCATTCTTCTGTTAAGATATCATCCGCATTTGATGGCCTTCATAGTTCTCATGACTTTCTCATGATAATGGATTCGCCTTCTAGAATAATATACATATGAAGAATGCATTTTCCAGTTTCTCAGAAGTTAATAATAATGTAATCCATTGCATTTAATTACCAAGATAAGACAGTACTTAGAGATAGGGTACATTTTTAAGGTTCTTCACTGCTATTAGATTAAATTGGTTATATTAATATTTACTTTACTTACAATTGAGTTGCTTTCTTTATATAGCTATAATATTAATTTATTATTTTACAAAACTCAAGCAAAAGCTCTGTGCTGGATTAAACCCATCAAATGTAGATAATTTATTAAAGGGTTACTCCAACCAATAAACACTGTTTTAATAAAACATAATTTTTCATTTGAGTAACCCTTCCTATCCCCGAAGATAAAATAAATAATGCTCAAGGAGTTCTTTCAGACAGACAGATTCTCTGCCACAGATCTCATTCTCTATAAGTAGATGTATGTAAGGGAGGACTGCCTGAGGTGTAGGACATGGGTAGCATGGGAGGAGAGCCTGTGCCTCTGTTGGACACCTGTCGCTAACGACAGACATCCAATATACACAGAACTGATAATAGCCAGCCCGGGGCTTAAACTCTGACTCCAGAGATTTCAAGATTCCAAGCACCATGCCCACTTTAAATCACTGAAGTGATCATGGTGCAACCCTTTAACATAAGGGTGGCCTAATGTATTTATTCCTATGCAATTAATAATGATGTTAAGCTGACACATATATCTTTCACAAAAAGACTTTATAATGACTTAAGTATCTTTTATGCTTAATATAGCGGTTTTGGTGTATAGAATCTCTCATTTTTGTCTGACAATGTAACAAATTGCTGTTTCTGAGAAATGGCAATGTTTTCATTTGGCCAAAAACACGTTTAGTGGTTGTCATTTTTCTAGCAGACAGCCACAAGAGGCACTTCCTCCTGAAGATCCTTCAATTTTTGAAGAACTTCACATCCAGAGTCATCATTTGAATAAACTAGGAACTGTTCTTTCAGTGGATGAGACAGTTTCTTTTTAAATAACATTATATACCGCAGGTTAGCAATATGTGATAATCCTTATAATCACTGAGTGAAAATAAAGAGTTGAGATGCCAGAAGGTTTCCTGTAAAACACACATAAAAATATTTTAACTTTAAAACTAAGTTTAAATCAATTGCAAAATTACATAATAAATAATTAATAACAACTTTGAAACATCAAATATTCTCCACAAAAAAAAAAGCACAGAAATAAATTTCCTTTTCTTTTTTTCATAAACACGTTGTTGATCTTATTCTGTGGAAAAAAAAAAGTAAAAAAAGACATAAAAATATTAAATAGTTTTAACTAAAAATATAGCCCATGCAAAATTGTCCTTGATTTGCAGCTTTTTATAACATTGCCATATCTATATTGCTTCCTACCTTCGTAAAAAGAGACAGCATAGATAAACTAGAGTAAACACAAATTAAATCCAGGGGAGGTTATTGGAAATGCGATATTTAAAATAATTAAATGTGAAATGTGAGCAGAATAAAACAGGAGACAGATACTACCCTACTCTAAAGATTAGAACATTCTCATTAAGTTTGCATTTTAGATTCTGATATAGGAACTTCATAAAACCTCAGAATTAACAGAGCCAGTATCTTCAAATATAAAGTTAATCTCTGCTACTGCTAGTCCAATCTTAAAAAAATAGGTTGCAGCAAACATGCACTCTATAAATAAAGCACAAAATACATCAATAGACACTGCTTAACACAATAAGAAAAAAAAAATCTACAATGTAGTTCTTCTAAAAATCCTCCTGCTCTTCGTATGAGTTTAAAACTTTACATTCACTTGACACAGTAACCTATAGTGCCCAAAAGGAAGTTCTGAAGAAGTTTTAGAGCTACAACTTTCATGATGTCTTGCCATTCTAAAGTCTGGCAAAACATAATGGGACTT